ATGTGGCAGCCAAATAGAGGAGGGGGTGATGCTCACCTTATTTTGAGGGGTGATCAAAATTATTCTCCACTCCAAATGTAATTACTCTAAAAAGATGACAATCATATTTGAAATTTTCAAACTTCTTTACTCTTTTTTTGGAAATTTCTCATTTTTCATCAAGTACATAACTTTTGATTTCACACGTTTAATGATTCAATGATCGAAATAAATAAGATTTGAATTATTTTTCTTGAATCGACTGAAGTTTATTTAGATGATCATTTAGCTATTCTTGATTTGATGAATACTCCCTCCGTCCCGCTATTAACTTCCTACTTTCCTTTTTGGGCCGTCCCAAAATAATCTTCTCATTTCCCTAAATGGAAAGTTATCTTACATCAAAACAGTGTCAAACAGTGCAAAACAGTTTCAAACAATGTCTAAACAGTGCCAAACAGTGTCTAAACAATGCCAAACAGTGTCTAAACAGTGCCAAACAGTGTCTAAACAGTAAAGTCAAATTTAATTCCTAAATATGTGTAGGTCAAAGTAGGAACTTAATAGAGGGACGGAGGGAGTACAATTTATATCGTATTTTAAAGACGTAGTATATAAAATGTTTTGCCCCTCAATCAAAATGTTATGGGCACCCTTGACAACATGGGCATGGTTAAAGGCGCCTATGCCGAAGGACTCCAATTGAACGTAACATACCCAAAATTGAATTATAGGGTATAAGAGGCCGTTTGGCAACACTGTTTTGCGGGTTATCAGGTTTATCAGTCAATTTTTTCACCAAACACGCAACTTTTGCTTTCGCGCGCTAAATTGTGTAATAAGCAGAGAAAGTAAGGTTGGAATTACTTTTCTGGTTGTATTGGCTGAAATTACTGTAGATGATCTTTTTAGCTATTTTCAAATATAATTTTTTCTTTATTTTATTAATAAAATATACATTGAAAATGATTTTTTCTTAAATCAGCAGGATCAGTCAATGCAGCCATTTCGGCCAGAACTTTATAAATTTTAGCAGAATCAACCAAAACAACCGATTTTCGTGCTATCAAACGAGCTGGGAATGATTTATGAGCAAGAGATGTAATAATAAGTGCTCTGTGCTCGCAGAGGTTAGATAACCACATCTTTTCAAGTTGCATCTATACAATAATAATGGCATGCACTCCTTTCAAAAAAAAAAAAAAATAATAATAATAATAATGGCATGCACTCCTTTCCTCAAATTGGCTTTTCTTTATCGGCATGTCTTGATAACTTTAAATATATATTTTCATATAAATTTTATATTTGAAATTATTTCAATGATTTCATACTAAAAAAAATGCTATCAGTCCACTTTGATATAATCATCATTTGATCAAAAAAAAAAATGATCTCATGAGTCAATTTGAAATGTTTCCCGATGTAATTGATGATTTTTTTTATCATGCTTCTCAAATTTTAGTTTAAAATTCAATCGAGAAGTTAGTTAAATAAGTTATTGTAAAGTATTGCTCTTTATTTATATATAGGCTAAAGGGTCAAATAGGCCCTTTAACTAGGTTAAAGTGTTCAATTAGCTCCTTATAAAGGATGTTCTGTCCGGTCTTCACCAATTGGGGAGGTTTCCGGTGTAATTTTTTGATGAATTTTTTTGAGCATCTTCTTCATTAAGTCTAGTTTACCCATACAAAATTTCAGCTAAAAAGTCAACCGGGAAGACAGTCAAATGATTTTTTGAAGATAACTACCCAATTAAACAACGCAGTACATTTCGGAAAATCATTTGACTGCCTTCCCGGTTGAATTTGTAGCTGAAATTTGGTATGGGTAAACTAGACTTAATGAAGAAGATGCTAAAAAATTTTCATCAAAAAATTCTACCGGGAACCGCCCCAATTGGCGACGGCTGGGCAGAACCTCCTATATAAGGGGCTAATTGAACACTTTAAGCTAGTTCAAGGGCCTATTTGACCCTTTAGCCTTTATATATATAAAGCGTATTATGCTTTATAATTTATTTAACTGAATTATTGATTGAATTTTAAGTTAAAAATTTTGTGGAGCAAATTTTCATTTGTTGAAAAATATGCTGAAACGATGTCATAAAAAAAATGGTAAAGATCCAAATGGTCTTGGGATCCTGTTAGACCGGCTTGAGAGAATCATTGATTGCCAGATGTGTATATATATACACTACCCAGTTTCCTGCATGGCACACATATCATTGGAAAGTAACTAAATAAGGTGACTAAAGATTAACGAAGATATGGCTATGGAATTTCTCCTTCCATTGGTCTCCAATTATTCCATTTTATTATTAGGCATAGCTGGGTTGCTTTCAGTTTTCTTGACATCGCGGGGGCGAATAAAAAAGAACAATACTAATAAGGTGTTACTTCCACCGGAGGCGGCCGGTGCATGGCCTGTGATTGGGCACCTCCGGCTGCTAACCGCCGTGAAGCAGCCGTTCGCTCGAACATTGGGAGCGATGGCTGACGAGTACGGACCCATATTCAGCATCCGGGTCGGGATGCAACGGTCGGTCGTCATCAGCAGCTGGGAAACCGCCATGGACGCTTTCTCTACTAACGATAAGATCCTTGCCAGTCGCCCCTCTTCGTGTGCTGGTAATAAATTCAAAACTCTCTCCCACATTCACATAAAAAGACTTAAATTAAGGTTTGTGAACATGGGCAGTGAGTCATGGACCGGCCCTGCGGCCATGCCGCGCCGCCACGACTCTTCTCATGCCTACACGCCTAACCGCCACCGTCTCCATGTATGCGTTCCGCGGCTGTCCCCATGCCGCGGGCCCACCTCTGTCCCCATGCCTGCGCGCCGCCGCGGCCGTCTCTAAGCAACGGCCGTTCCCATGTCGTGGTTGTACCCTTCCGCGCCGCAACCAATATTTTTAAAAAAATGAAATTAAGGTTTGTGAACATGGGCAGTGAGAATATAATGTGCAATAAACATGGGTAGTGAAAATGGTACAGAGTACTAGTAATATATAGTGTATATAGGCAGTGAGTAGGAAATGGATGCATTGATGAAGTGTGTGGTGCAATGAATTGAAAACAATAGAGCAATAAGGACAACACAAGATGTAATATGTTTAAATGGAAATAAAATAATAATTTAAAGTTATTACATCTAAAAATAAAAATAAAACGAACTATAAATAATATCCTAACGTGGATGACAATTAATGTTGGCGAAAGTCGTGCAGTAACTGCAATATAAAGTGCAGTATTTTTAATTGAATGAAAATAATGTAAAATTCACATTTTTAAATAAGGGTATTTTGTTCATTAAGCATTTTAATAAATAACCTTTTGTTTTGCTTTTCAGTCATACAAATGTTTTAAAAATAACTAGCAGGTAGGGGTGGGCAAAAAAACCGAAATATCGGCATACCGCACTTACCGTACCGAAAAATACAAAAAAATACCGAAATATTGGTATACCGTCATTTTTGGTAGGGTATCATACCGTACCGGTCTATTTCGGTACGGTAACGGTAACGGTAAATGTTTTTAAATACCGCGGTATACCGGTATAATACCGTACCGACTCCCTACTCAACAATTACTTTTAATTCTAATATATTGTAGAAATCCATTACAATTTTGAAGCCCAAAATTAATACTTAAGTTGGTTACAAATACAAAATACAAAAATAAAGGCCCAATTTCTCAAACTCACTATCACCTTATACGCTTCTACTACGCTAACTTTAAATGACTAATGAGTAATGTACAAATGTCAAGAAACAAGTCCATTTTGTTCCAAGAGCTTGCAAGTCGTGATGGCTGGGCCGCTAAGTAGCTGAAGAGTGAAAAGAGATACACTTATGTGAGAAGTGTATCTACATAGGGATTCAGCGAGTCGAGACACACAACTTTGTCGAAAGTCTTATTCAATTTTTAAAAAATTATAAAAATGACTAAATACACAATATCATATTAGGAATAAATGATTTTATATCCATGTTGTTTGAATAGTTTTATTTATTTTTGTTAGAGATCACTATTGATTTAATTATATCTATATTTTTCAAGTTATTTTAGAAGAATGTGTTACTTTTTAATATGTGATATGTTGAACTGTTTAAATATACTAATAATAATTTTTTTATCAATATTGAATTGACATCAATAGATTATTAATTGTATTTCGTAACATTTTAATGATAGATTTAATATGTCGCTAGTAATAACGATTTAGTATGTTTCGTTAGTCTATGATAATTTTTTGTATTAGGAGACATGCACGGTAATTACCGATACCGTACCGTTACAGAACCGAAACTTCGGTATACCGAAATGCGGTATACCGAAACTTCGGTAAGGTTAAGGTATGCAAATTTTGCATACAGAAAGTTTTGGTACGGCAAAGGTATGAGAAAAAATATAAGGTATACCGTACCGAACCACCCATACTAGCAGGGTCAGTGCTGAGAAATGGGGGCCTAGTGCACCCAAAGAAGTTGGGCCTTCTTTTTTTTCACATTAATACAAATAAAACATAAATAAATTAAAGATAATAAAGTAATACATTGGCGAAAATTTATGTAAAGGACAATTTAGTGATATTATAATAGTCCAAATAAAAGTGTTCATTATCAAAATACATTTCATTTAAGTAGGAACTGTAGATTATAATTTATAAACCCAAAAATATTACTCCCACTTTCCCAATTAAAGCTTTCCATTTCTATCTTGGGAATAATTAGCATTCTTTAATGATAAGTAATTATCGAATATAAAAAATAATACATCTAAAACACCACGCTTAGCTTATCATCAGTGACCTCATTAAGTTATATATATATATATATATTTTATAGTTTACCCTAAAAATATACTTGAAATACTTTATTTAATTGATTTTTAAATAATTGTTTCATTTTTCATTTTTTGTGATTCTATCAATTTGTTAAAATCATTAATTATGTAATATATTTAGAAATAATGGTCTGTATATTACTATTAGACTATTCGATCCCAAAAGAGCACATATTTTAGAGAAATAATGGTCTCTAAAATATGACAATTGTTATTAAAACATATGGACCATCTAAGAAAGAGCACATCTCCATATCTCCTTCGTATCATCTGTTTCGCATCATCTGCTTCTTATCATCTGGAGATATAAAACACAGATCCGGCATCATCGTTCCTGCGAATGGCATCTGCTTCGCATCATCTTCTCGGAAGGGGAGCTCGGAAGACCTCCCATGGCATCATCGTCGGCCGTCTCCTTCCGTTTCCATCTCCCTACCCACACCAATCCTCTTCTCCTTCTTCAATTTCTTTCCAATCGTGGGAAGTCCATCGAAGGGACATTTACCTAATCGATGGGGCGAAGAGACGATTTTCAGATCTAGATCTGGGATGGCGGCTATGGTTATGCTAGGGCGGTGGTAGGGATGGTGGAGTCGTGGCGGGGCTGGCTAGGCTGCGTTGGGTGTATTTGATGGATGGGGGCAGCGGTATAAGGAGGGGTGGTCATTCTCCGCCACCGCCAGCCCGGAGCTAGGGAGGTGGTTCTCAAAGCGGAATGGCGCAGGGAGGGGAATAGATCTGGCATTGGCCTTGGGCTGGGGAGAGGACTGGATTGGGGCTGATGGGGGCAGGGCAGCACTAGGTGGTGGCGGTCATTGGGTGACACTAGCAGTGGACGGTGTTACTGACCGAGTTGGGCGGAAGTCACTGGACAGTGACCGGAGTTGGGCTGTAGTCACCGGATAGGGACCAGATTCAGTGACCGGAGTTGGTCGTTGGTCATTGAGCGACGGTCGTTATGGCGAAGCAAGTCACTGAGCGACGGTCACTATAGCCAGAGCAAGTCACTGAGCTATGATCACTATGACCGGAGCAAAGTCACTGGGCGGTGGTGAGGCATGACTGCTGGCAGCGCCGGTGATACGACTGTTGTTGTGGACAGCAAAAGAATCTGTTTCCTATTTTTCAGTATTAAATTCATTAATGGCCTTTTTAGTTTAGGTGGTGTTAAATGGATTAGTGTGCAACGGTTTAGTGCATAACAGCTGGCAGTCATATTTTTGACTTTTTGAAACTTAACCCTCTTTATTGGAAATCCATTAATTAATTGTAATATTTGAATAAAAGGCCATATATTTACTTTATTACATAAAATAATATAACTAATTTGTTGAATTGAATTATAAATTACTTAGAGCCTGTTTGATAGCACGAAAATCGATTGTTTTGGCTGATTTTGCTGAAATTTATGAAGTTCTAGCTGAAATGGCTGCATTGGCTGATTCTGCTGATATAAGAAAAAAATATTTTTAAAATGTATTTTATTAATGAAATAAAGAAAAAATTATATGTAAAAATAGCTAAAATGGTCATATACAGTAACTTCAGCCAATACAACCAGAAAAGTAACTCCAACCTTACGTTTTCTGCTTATTACACAATCCAGCGCGCGAAAGCAAATTTTACGTGTTTGGTGAAAAAGTCGGCTGATAAGCCTGATAAGTCAAAAAACATGGTTGCCAAACGAGCTCCTAGGCCTAGAAATAATTAAACTAATTAAGTAACTCAACTACATAATAATCAAGAAGATGAACCATACATACGAAATTTAGAGGATTCATAATTTATACTCTGTAACCACCGGTGAAATTGTTTCCGATTGGTTCCTATTTCCTAATTATTTACTAATTTAATTTTCTTGGGCTGCCTGCCATTGTATTTGTTGAAGTCTTGGAACTTGGGACTTTGGAATTGCCGATTGAATTGGAATGGGAGTATAAGGGTCTGTTTGCAACAGCTTCTGCTTTTAAAAAAGTGCTTTTTTTAATGAAATGGGGAGAAGTGATTAAATAAAAGTTGATGATGTTTGGGAAAAAAGTGATTTCGAAAAGTAAAAGTGGGTAGTGTTTGGTAGAATAAGTGCTTTTTGTGTAATAGAAAAAGTAAAAGCACTTTTGACGCGGAAGCCGAGAAAAATAAAAGTTGTAGTGTTTGGGAAAATAAGTGCTTTTTTAAAGCCAAAAGCTGAGAAGTGCTTTTTTAAAAGCAGTTGCAAACCAAAATAAGATGGCCGAATCTACTTTTGGCCTTTCTTTTCTTGCACATGGGCTGCGTTATAGTAATACCGGAGTATATTATTTAGAGAACATGTGAGTGATATTTTATAAAGGGAAAACTATCAAATAAGCTCCCATACTATACCGAAAAAGTCGATTAGGTCCTCGTACTTTACAAACACTCAATCAAGTCCTCGAACTATTAAAAAACTTTCAATTAAGCCCTTTCGGTCGGTAAGTAACTGGTATCCCGGTTAAATGTAATTCGTTTCCCGGCAGCCGCCGTTGCTGGGGTTCGAGCACATCGTCGCCATCGTCGCCGTTTAACCGGGAAACCGGTTACTTACAGACCAAAAGGGCTTAATTGAACGTTTTTTAACAGTTCGAGGACTTAATTGAGTGTTTGTAAAGTACGAGTACCTAATCGACTTTTTCGGTATAGTACGGGGGCTTATTTGATAGTTTTTCCTTTTATAAAAGGAGAGAAGTGCACTCTGAAGTATATATATAGAGGTGCACATATACCATTGAATTCTTAAAAGATGTAAAAATAATCTTCATGTTTCTATAAATAAAATAAATTATTAAAAACACCGAAGATAAAACTGACAATTAAAATATGAAATTGAAAATACAAAACTACTAGTTTCCATTTCTCCCATTGATTATTTGTGTATCACAATTTGATATTGTTAGTATACAAAAAAATTTCAGCACTTTACCATATGTTTTACTTTCAAAAAAAACTTTATTATAAATGCATGATTCTTTCGGAAAAGTGTTAACATATGTGTTGCAATGTAAAAAAAATCATATTTAATTTTATTAAATTTCAACAAAACCAAAGGATGGTATATCAAAAAATGTATCAATGTGTTCGAAATTTCACAACAAGACAAACGTTATCAATATTATGAATTTGAAATGCTTCATTTACAGGGGAAAAATAATACTCCGTAATCCATAATTTTGCAATTTAAAATTAAAGAGTTGATATTTTAACATAAAAATGAATCTTTATTTTTAATTCTTTAATTTTGTTTTGAGAATTTTAAATCTATAATTTATTTTTGTTTTTTAAATTTTATATTGTTTATTTAAAGTCAATAAGGAAAACATTTCTACTTTAATTTATATAAACATTAGGGATATTTTTGAACATTTTAAAAGTTCAGGGTATATCGATATGCACCTCCAAATATACTTGAATTGAGAATATATTTTCACATTTTCTCTCTACAAAAAGAATAAATTCGATTACGTTGCCATATTCTATAGACTTAGTCTCAAACTTTGCAACATGGCGCATTTTTATTTTACATAAATTGTAACACGATATCATGCTTTTGTTTTTAATTTTATTATTTTGAAAAAAAATCATTAAATTGGAGTAAAATGACACATTTTTTAAATAAGCTAGATTTTTTGCTTCACAGAATAAGGCTTGTTTAATAAAGGTTTTTTTTTCAAAAATATTACTAAAACAATTTTTTTTTTCTTTTTACTCCAGGTGGTCTAGGGGAGGGGGGCTAGGGGGCTAGAATAATCTGGCTGAAACTCACTCCATTGAGTTTCGAACCCTTATGTGCCTAGTGAGTTTCGAACTCCAGACCCTCCCACTACGCATGGTAACTTCACAACCAGTTGCGCTTAAATACTAAAACAAAACTTATTTATACAAATATAACTAGTAGTTTCTATAATATAGGTCACTTAAGTTTAAAAATTGAATATACGTGACTATGATTTAGTTACTAATATAGTCAATGGTCACATTTTTACAAAATATCTTTATTTTAGTCATAATTATGTAATTATTTCTTTATTAATTCTTTGGAAACCCATTATAGCCAAACTAAAACTTATTCACCCATACTATTTGATTTCTAATTTTTTATCCTTCTAGTAGGACTAAATGTTTCGAATTATTTTGGCTGGTCTTATTTTTTAATTTGTTCAATTTATGCTCTTATTGAGAGCAATTTCATACCGAGTATTAATTATATCAAAACTTATAATCTAATAACCAAATAGATTTGAATTGACAAGAACGGGGTTAGCTTTTATATTATTTCTAACAATGTATATATGGATTGTTATTTCTAAATGTTTTTTTTTCAAATAAATGTGAATTAAAAAAGTATTTACATAAATAAGTGCGGGTTAAAAGTATGGGTTTTTTATAAGAATATTACTAAAATAAAAGTTATTTACATAAATATGACTATTCATTACTACGTGTTGTAGTAACTTAAGTTCAAAACTTGAATATGAATTACTATGATTTCATTACTACTCTAGTAACTAATCATATTTTTGTAAATCATCTTTATTTTGGTCATATTTATGTAATTATTTTTAAAAGTATTTGGCGACCAATAAGTCACCAACCAGGATAAGTGTGCACTACTGGTATGTTTCGAAATTAGAATTACGAAACAATAATACTCCGTATCATTTTTCTCGAAAAAGGTGTCAGCCACAGCTCTCTTTGTCATACTTTTGATTGTCCTACTCTCATTTTTTGTTGTTGATTTCTTTTTTAACAAAAAATGTGTGGTTCTTATCATTTCATTTTATTATATTCAAATATCAATCACAATTTTTAATTTTCAAATACTTTACTAATAATTGTGTCAAATTAAAACAGACAGTTAATACGGGATGGAGGTAGTACTTAATTAGTACAAATTTTTTATGCGAATATAATAATATGTTTGTTCAAAATAAGATTAGACTTTTTGAAGGAAAAATCTATTTGTATGCGTTTTGTATATTCTAGTATATTTTTGGTGCATCCCTTGTTTTGTCTATATAGATTATATTATACGTCAAATAAATGTAAAAATTTGGGGGAATCTTTCGTAAAACGTGGACACCAAAATTTCTCTATCTTGATACATAAATTGCCTTAAATAGGAGTAAAAACGTTTTGAAATACCAAATTAGGACTATTATGTTTTTTTTTTCTCCGAATAGGAGTAATCTTTCAAGTTTGAAAAAATATGCCATGTTTAAAGCCTAGTAATGTCAAACTTGGCATAAATTTACTCTTATTCAGGGAATATAAACATGGTAGGTCTATTTTGGAATTTCAAAACTTTTTGCTCTTATTTAGAGAATTCTCTCATTTTGATACCATGTTGTCAATAATATAGGAAAGTATATGGGGTACGATTACGCTGTATTGCCATTGGCGCTTCACGGCCCATTATGGCGGAGCATGCGGAAGCAGATGGTGGGAGAAATGCTCTCAAACAACACCCTTGAGAAACTAAAGCCTGTTTGGATGTCGGAATTGCACACCAACATCAAAGAACTCTACACTTGTATTGTAGCAACAACAGGGGCAACAAAGCCGGTGGACATAAGTGAATGGTTCAGGCACTTGACATTGAACTTAATCGTTAAGCTGATAAGCGGAAGCCGATACAAGTACCCGCCAAACAAGGTCGTCGACGATGAAGAGACAAGCCGTTTGATTAAAGCATTCGCCGAATTTAATCGCCTTTCGGGGGAGCTTGTTCCCGGAGATGCATTTTACCCGACCGGGTTGTTCAGGTGGTTGGATATCGGCGGGAAGATTGCGTCCATGAAACAAACCGCTAAAGAACTAAATGGTGTCTATCAGAATTGGTTGGATGAGCATGTGGAGAGGAGGAGATCCAATGCCGCAGCTGGCAACGGCGTTGAGGATGATCGGGACTTTATTGACACTTTGCTTTCCGTCTTTGAGCGAGAATTTCAGTCTGTAGGCCATTCTCATTCTCGTGAAACCATCATCAAGGCTGCATCACATGTACGCATCACTTGATATTTAAAAGCCAAACATATCAATTATCTTAACCTTTTTTTTATCTGAAAGTAAAACCCCCAAATCGGTGGGGCAAATGCCGGAAAACATTTGTCGAGTTTTATTAAAATAAAAAAAAAATTAAAAAGAGATAGGGAGACTAGGTCAATACCTCTCTAGAATAGCCACACCTTCTCAAAGTACAACAAAAGAAAGAAAGTAAAACAGATATAAATTGGGGGTCTAGGTTTGACCCAATTTATAGAGTACAATGAAAAGAAAAAGAAAAACTAAAAGCTATACACCAAATAAAGACCAGACCAAAGAAGAAAAGCCA